TTCAGCTTCTTTACTTTTCCGATTGCTTTCAGATGACTTAATATTGTTGGGATGTTAATTTCAAACCTTGCTGCTAGTCCACGTGTCGTTTCAGATGGATTTGCTTCCACTACAGCTTTCAGTTGGTCGTCATCCACCTTGCTCTTGGGCCATCTGCGTGGTTCATTTTGAAGATCAAAATCTCCAGATTGGAATTTTGTGAACCATAGAAATACAGTACATTCGTTAGCCACATCCTTCGTTAACATTTCGGCTTTCCTGCGCTGCATCGGAGACATCTGATATCAAACTTGAGGCTTTAGGTAATCAGACATTTCATACTTAATGACTTAATATTGAAATTGAGTTTAATTATTTTGTGTCGTCTTATGAAGAAATAATGGGGACAAATTAGATTATCTTCTACAGAAAAAAAATGTCATTTATACATCTTTTTATTTAAGGAAAGATTAAGGTTCCCATTTAGAGCTGGGAGGACGGAAATCAAGTTCATTTTGTTGAAGGGAGATGTAAAATTTAAGAAACTTATGTTTTATCTTGATTTTCGTTTCTATTTAAATCAAACTAATTGTGAGTCACTACGATTATCTTATAAATTCGATAAATTTTCATTGGAAACAATCAAACCAATAAATTATTGTCTTCCTCTTTTATTTTATTTTTCTTTCTTTCTGCTAATTCGGCCAAACACGAGTCTCACCTCGTGCCTCAGCAAAGTAACCGTTCATTTCGCAATAACTTGATCAATAAAGATGATACCTAGATAGATTAAAGAAGAATGAAAAGAAACAAACCAAGAGAGACAGACAGAGAGAGAGAGAGAGAGAGGAAGAGAGAGAGAGAGGAAGAGAGAAAGAACCTGACTCGACCGGTGGGCCCATTTTGGGTCTGCAGGCATTTACGATTTTATCAAATTCTTGATGTTCAACGTCATTTGATGATCGTGACAAAATGTTAAATTAAATAAAAGTATTTTTTTTCACAAGGTCATAAGGTACAATATAATAAAAAAAAAAATAAATAAATCAAAATACGTTTTTTTTTTTTACAATGAAACAACATATTTTTTATCATTAAAAAACAAAAAGAAAATATTTATGTAGATTTATTTAATTGAGATACTATATATATATATATTTGTTTACAACAGTATTAATCGAACAAACAAACAATGTCACGAAAAATTCCATAATCTTTCAGTGTTTCATCTTTCTCTGTTTGAAATACCAGCAAGTTAAAAGTCTGGTTGGTGAGAGGTAACCAAATGATTATTGAAAGTTCAGTTTTAGGTTCCTCCTTTCGCTATCTTTTACAAAGATAAGTTAAATATAGTTAATATAAAATGATTATTATATAATATTTTATGTAAAATTTTTTAATATAACTAATATTTATTATATTATATTATTATATACAGTTTTATATTATTAATATAGATATA